TGGGCTCCTGGGACGCCTCCGCCTGGGCTTTCGCTCGGCCCGGCGGCCTGGGGTCCGCGCCACGAGCCCCCCTCTGCGCCTTGGGAACCCCCTTACCCCGCGTGTCGGGTGTGGGAGCCGCTCTCAGAAGCCTTTTGAGAGTCAGAGGCCAGGGCAGGGTGGGTGATTTCTGGAGTGAAGCTGACCCCCGAACCCCGGGGAGACTTGGGTAGAACCTGAGGGCAGAGAGTGGGGCGAGGTAGCTGCCTACGCCTAAAACCAAGTATGGGGTCGTCTCAGGCCTGAGGGAGCCTGGGTTTCAGTTCTGGCTGTCCAGGACTGGCTCCTTGACCCTGGATAGTTCTCTTTCTTTTCTAGATCTTACTGTTCTCTTCTGTAAAATGGAGAACTTGGGCTTCAGCCCACTGTCTTTCAAGGTTTTTCCATCCTAAAATGCCTCTAACGGGCCTTCTTATGGTCTCTTGTTGGCTTCCCAGTTAACAAAGAAAAACAGAACAGTACTTTCTCTCTTTCTGTCATGAATCTCGGTGATGCACCTAGAGCTGGGCACTCAGCATCTGCAGAGATGGAGACCTTTGCTCAGCAGGACCTGAGGGTACTTTCCTTTGCAGGAACTCTCCACCTAGCTGAGAAAGAGGAGTTGAACTTACTCAAGATGGGTAAATGGAAGGTCTGGTTAAAATGCAGAATCTACAAAGGGAACTCACAGAAGCCAGGGAGCCCATAACAAGTTAGTGGCAGGGGCCTCCGGGCTGTATTCACTGCCTTTGCTCCACCTTCATCCTGGTATCTGTCTCTCCCTCTGGTGCTGCCCTAGGGCTGGCATGGAGCTGAGCTAGATGGGGGGCCGGGGGAGGACGGCCTCAGGACCTTGGAGTCTTGCCAATCTCTTGCCCTCCACAGCCTCCGGGTTAGATGAGGGGCTGCACTGTGAGTGCACAGGCTGAGGGTATAAAATGCCAGCTGCCCTGCTGGGCCCCTTTCTCCTTGGCACTTTGCCAATCCAAGGAGCCTCCTTCCTCCAGGAAGCCTCCTTGAAGAGCCTTCCCCCACCCCTAGGCGCTCCCTCTTCCTACCTTGTTTGGTACATCTGTGTTCCATAATTCACTTTCTAAGAGTTTCTTCCCACCAGATGGTGACCTCCAGGAGGGAGGGAGGGATGAGCAGGCCTTTAGGTTTTATTTCTGGTTTCATAGTCAGGAAAGTACAGGGGCCAACCCTAGGAAGTTCTTTGGGCATGTGCGTGGATTAAAAATAACGACAGCTACGTTCCTTCAGTGATTCCTGTTTGCCCAGTGTTGTTCTGAGTGATTTACATGTGTGGGCTCTTTAAACCTTGCAGCACCCTGAAGTTACCATCATTATCCCCACTTACATGTAAGGAAACTGAGGCAGTGAGAAGTAACTTGCTAAAGGTCACACAGGTGGGAAGTGACAGGACCAGACACGTAAGTTAGTCAGTAAAAGAAACAGCCTCCAGGTGAATGAATGAAGTCTGCCAATTAGAAGTTTGTGGGCGGCTAATGGGGCCAACTAGGGTGCTGTGGCTTCTTCCCAAAGACAGTGCCTCGTTTGGGGATTTTGCAATTAATAAGAGCTTTCTGTACAGCCTGGAAGGATACCGTGTAGTTCTAGCTTATGTATGGCCCTTCCTGGCTTTTGGGTGCCTTCCAGCCCTTTTTGAGACCCCACTACTGCTTCTCTGGGCTGCAGGCTCCTAGCTACAATGTCCCGGGTTCCTTATCTGGAATGTGGACCTAAGAGTTACATCTACTTTGTGGGCCTAGAAGGTGATCAAATGAAGCAGTGAATGGCTTTGGTGATTATCAAGAGCAGGGCATACACCTTTGTGGCTATTTTTGTTACTTTCCTGCTCCTTTGGGAGTACAAGGTAGGAGGAAGGAGTGGTAAGATGGATTAGTAAATGCTCATTGTATTTAGGAATGCCCTCTATGGGCCAGGCCTTGGCCTAGGTGAGGAGGAGAGGGTTCTGCTCACCCCATTCTAGCATCTCAGGGACACTGGGATTGGTTGCTCGATCTTGTGCCCTTAACTCTCTCTCTTTTTACAGTAATTTTAGGAGTAGGCTCAGAGACAGCCAGACTGATGCAAAGGCATGGAGATTATGGGCTTGGAGCCAGATGGCTTGGGTTCATTCATCTGGCTTCAGAGGTGAGAGACACCCAGCCTTGGGTAGTTAGCTTCACATCTTTAACCCTCGGTTTTCTCTCCTATGCAATAGGAAAGACATACCGAGGAAAGGGGCCCATATGCTGAGCAGGTACGAGATGTCAAGTTCATCTTTCCTTCTGTTACAGCCACCAGACAGCTGCACCAGGTAGGCTGCTGACTCCATTTTGCAGATGGGAAGAGCAAGGTTTTGGTTGTTATGTAACTTGACAGCAAATGACAGGGAGCATGTGAGTGGCTGAGTGGAGATTCAAGTCCAGGCATTCTGGCTCTAAAGTCTTCAGTCTTTTCATGATTATTTTACTGTTTTCCAGCCTTGGCGCCTGGTACAGGGCAGGAGTGTGATCCTTGTTAAAGGCTCATCTTTTATATATTCTTGTCTGGGAGAGGAGGGGTCCCAAGTGATTTTCTGGAGCTTAAAGTCAGGGCCAGCTTCGGGTGCATGCAACCTGCACAATCACCAAGACCCCTCATTTAGGGAGACACCCCTCCCGCACCATTTTATCTAATGCTTTACTATTGCCACCTTTTAAAATTCTTCATTGTTTTTGAACAAAGTGCCCCATGTTTTCATTTTGTACTGGGCCTCAAAATTCTGCTGGTCTTCTTTAAAGACTTGAGAGAAGCAGAAGATGGTGATGGCATGGGAGTCAGGTCCCTCTTTGGGGGTGTGCTCAGCAGCAGTCAGCCCTTGGGCCAGCCCTGAACCATGCCGGTGTGTGCCAGCTGGACACTTCATGTCTTAACATTGAGAACAGCAGAAGATGATTTCTAGTGAACTTTTTACCAGGATGATTAGTAGAGCTGTTGTGTCATCCCAGGGGAGTTAGAGATGGTTTTCTTTGGTGAAGGGCGATTCTCAGGGTCCCCCATAGACACAACAGAGGTCAGGTGTGCAGGTTGCAGGCAGAGCAGATGGCACTTGTGATTCAGTTTTTCATTAAGGAAACACGAAGGGTGTCACTGCTTTTGCTGATGAAAGTGGCTAAGGGTGAAGCCTGCTGTGCCTCTCAGTGACCTGGCTCTGGAAGATTTGGAAGCATTTCCAAGATTTTTTAGAGCTATTAATAAATGCCAGGAAGATTGCTCTTTTCACCATTTTTTTTTCTCCTTATAAATGACTGTTTAACAGCCAGCATTACCGTGTTCACTTTGGCCACCTGGAAGCTCAAAACCAAATTCTTGGCTCAGGTATAAAACTATGCAAAATCTCAAACAGTAAAATAAGAGCAAATATTTATAGAATGTGTACTTTGTTCCGTGTTCCGGTATGTTCTTTAGATGTGTCATTTATTGATTGTTTGCTGCACCCTCTGGGGGAGGTTGCATGGTTCGAAGACTGAAGCTTGCCCAAGTTTACCTAACTAGGAGTTGGGAGAGCTGACGTTTTAGCTGGTTAGTCTGAATCTGGCGTCCTTGTTCTTGAAAACAAACCTTCACCCTCTCTGCTGGAGAACTTGATTGCATAAATATTTGAGTATTTTTGTTCTTTGTGGTTGCCACCTTTTTTTTTTTGTTTGTTTGCATGTGATTTATGTTTCCTTCCACCTGATTTTGTAAATTTGAATTTTGCAATGTCTTCTGGGAAGCTGTTTGACATTCTTTGCATCAGCGAGGATCCCTGTCGTGACTATATCTTGACTATATCTTTCTTACACCTGGCTGCTGGGGCATCCTCAGTAAGGAACTGGAAATCCCAGATGCTTGGGAGTGGGGCCTGGCCAGCCTTTGAGTCCCCCATGGGCCATTAGCCATGGGAGAGCTAGAGAAGTCCAGGACCAGAAAGGAAGTTCTTGATCTAGGCCTGGGGGAGTTTTAGTTTCTCCTTCTTCTGAGAGATTTCCTCAGCATGATGATAAAGACCAAAGTCAGCGAAAAGACTCCTGGTGTCTCTCCCTGGCCTCTGGTGCCTTTGGCCTTGGAGAGAGCTGTAGGAAACCCAGCCTGCCCAGGCCCAGGCCTGAAGTTCCTTTTTGTGCTGTTTTCTGAAGGCAAGTGAAGCTGAGGTGACCACTGCAGAATGAACCGCAGCCCTGAGAAGGGGAAGTAGAAGGCCGCTGGCGCTCTACCATGGCCTGTGAACCACAGGTGCACCACGGGGCGGCTGGCCCCTTGCCTACCACCTCTCCTGGCTGGGGCTCCCTGCCTGCAGGGACCCCTCCTGGCTGGGGGCAAGGTAAGGTCATGACTCTTCATTTTCTACCCCCCTTTCTACCAGTTGCTGAGCTGGACTAACATAGCATGATTGGGGGAGGGAAGGGGCACGGAAGTTCCTTTAGAGAAGGATGGGCATCTTTGGGATACGTCTCTAGGTTACTTCTGTCATTTCTACCCAGTTCTATCACCACCTGCTTAGATCAAGCCACTGTCACACTCTGCTTGGACGCCTGCTGTAGCTTCGCAGCTGGTTTCCTGTCCCTATTCCCTCTTCTATTCATTCTCTGCATGGCAGCTGGAATTCTTTTTGAAATGCATGTCTAGCCATGTCACTTTCTGCTGCAGTGTTTCCCATTGGGCTTAGCATGGAGCACCATCATTCAGCAGCTCGCAAGGCCTGCTTTAATGTTCTTTCCCATGCTGTTCTGCCTCAGGACCTTTGCAGATGCTGTTCCTTCTGTTGGTTCTGCTTTTTCCCTGCCTCCTTTCCCCTGCTTAATTTCCACTCATCCTTCAGAGCTCTCTTAAAATACCCCTTCCTTGAAGAATCCTCCTGAGGCTCAGCCTGAGTTAGGACCCTGTGATACAGTCTTCTCTCTTCCTATAGCACTTATCATAGTCTATGCAATTACCTGTGTAAGAAAGTGTTGAAGTCCAGCTTCCTACTAGATTGTAAGTTCCAGGAGGGTAGGGGTCTGTGATTTTTGTTCATCCCTGTATCTGCAGTACCTAGCAGAGGACTTGGCATGTACTAGATACTCAGTAAGTATTTTGTTTAATGAATAAATGAATGAGAGGCTCGGTACAGGCAAAGGGAAACACTCTGAATTACACAGGTCCATAGGAATGTGGCTGGTTACTTAATGGGATTTGAAACTTGACTGCTTAAAAACAAAAGTTTCTTTTATTATTCCTGTTATTAGGAAAGCCATTTATATACACTTGTACACAATAGTAGAATGAAATGGAATAAAATACTTTTTGCTTCAGAACTTTGTGGATATTGCTTCACTGATTTTTAGCAAGCTAATTCTTATTTCTTTGTAGAAAATCCCTCCCTGTGCCCCACTGTATACTTTTGTTTGGTAGCTTTACTTAGCCTAGATGTAAAAACAAGTATTTCTAAGTGAAGGACTTGCTTTCTCACTTTTTATTTATTTATTTATTTTGAGACAGAGTCTCACTCTGTTGCCCAGGGTGGAGTGCCATGGTGTCAGCCTATATAACAGCAACCTCAAACTCCTGGGTTCTATCAATCCTCCTGCCTTAGCCTCCCAAGTAGCAGAGGTTGAGTTACTAAGACACCTGGCTAATTTTTCTATTTTTAGTAGAAATGGAGTCTTGCTCTTTCCCAGGCTGGTCTTGAACTCCTGAGCTCAAGCAATCCTTCTGTCCTGGCCTCCCAGAGTGCTAGGATTATAGGCATGAGCCGTGGTGCCTGGCCTAATTTTGTCATTTTAAGGAACAGATGAGAGCTAGTATTACCAAAAATTCAGAACTCCTGGTTTGAAAGGCAAACAAAGACATCCTGAAAGGACTTGACATTCCTTGGGCAAACACTTAATGTGTAAAGAGCCAGGCTGGGGGAACAGTTCAAATTCTCCATGCCTGGAGTCCAAGTCCACTGTTGCTGCAGAGAGCTAGTCTGGGACCCTATGTGCATGATTGCCTGTGTCTTGCACTCTGTTTTCCTGTCTGGCTTCTCTTTCTCTCTTTCACTTTCTCAGGTAACTTGGGGCAAGTTCCTTTGCTTTTCAAAGGCTCAGTTTCCTTTTCCCTGCAAATTGTACCCACCTCTTAGGGCTCCTGGAACAACAAACAAAATCATGACCAAAGCCTCAGGTCAGCCCTGGTGCTCAATAACGGCTCCATACCTGGAACCAGGTCTTATTACCGCCTTTATTTTCTTTTTGTCTAGTTTTAATTTGAGAATAAAGTCTTAAATTTAATTTTATAGTTTTATCTTTTTATGATTTGTTCTTTTGAAGCTACCTTGAGTCCTTTCTCAATAAAGGTATGGGAAGGTAAAAACGGACACCAATCTATCATGGGTACTTGATCATAACTTCTGAGTTCTGACGAGGTTGCTTTTAAATTATGATGACAATACAGTTAGTTACTCAGCACCTATTTTAACTGAGCACTTTATTTGTATCATTTTAGTCCTCTTCAGTGGATATGATCATCCTTGAGGGAGGAAATAGGCCCAGGGGTTGAGGTCGCTGCCCCCCTTTTATCCTGTTAGTGAGAAGCTGAGCTACCATCTGAACCCCAAAACTATCTAGTGTGTTCTTTCTTTACCTCACTTCCCTGCCCCCACATTCCCTCCCTTCCAAAAAGAAAACAGAAAGAGGGAACAAAATAAAGTTCTTTCTGGCAGGACATAGAATTCTATTTTATTATTTTTTTAAATTTCAGAATATTATGGGTGCACACACATTGTAGTCACATGATTAGCTTTTGTACATTTAAAGTGAAAGTTATAAGTGTGCTCTCAACACAGAAAGTGTACAATGTACCCTGTAGGTGTGAATTTCCCTTCCCTTCCTCCCTCTTCCCACCAACTTAATGTCCTTTAAGTTTTACTTCCTTATGTTCACTTAAGTGTTGATTGACTAGTTTCAATTTAGCATTGAATGATGTTTATTTATCCATTCTTGCAAAACTTCACTTAGAAGAATGGTATCCAGGTCCAGCCAGGTTGTTATAAAAGATACTAGATGGGGTGGCACCTGTGGCTCAAAAGGGTAGGGAGCCAGTCCCATATGCTGGAGGTGGTGGGTTCAAACCCAGCCCTGGCCAAAAACTGCAAAAACAAAACAAAACAAAACAAAAAAACAAGATACTAGATAACCATTTTTTTATGGTTTAGTAGTACTCTACGAGATATGTGTGTGTGTGCATATATATATATATACACACATACATATATACACACACATATATATTACACACACATATGTATCACATGTTGTTAATCTGCTCATGTATTGATGGGCATTTGTGTTGTTTCTACATCTTTGTGATTGTGAATTGTGCTGCTATAAACATTTGAGCGTAAGTGTCTTTTTTTGTACAATGTCTTTTTTTCCTTTGGCCAAATACCTAGTAGTGGGATTCCTTAATCAAATGGTAGGTCTACTTTTAGTTCTTCGAGGTATCTCCATACAACTTTACATAGCAGCTGTACTAGTTTGCAATCCTACCAAGAGTATAAGAGTTTCTTTCTCTCTGGATCCACACCAGCATCTGCTGTTTTGATAAGAGCCATTCTCCCTGGAGTTAGGTGATCTCTCATTGTGGCTTTGATTTGCATTTCCCTAATGATTAGAGACTGTGAACATTTTTTTCATGTGCCCGTTGGCCACTAGTTTATATTCTTTTGAAAAGTTTCCGTTCACATCTTTTACCCAAGGTCATAGTATTCTATGGAACGTTTGCAATCATAGATGGTACCCTAGGATATGAGAAAATAACCCTATCAAGGTTGGGGACCAGAGCCTTATTGTGTTTATTCGTTTATATATCAAAGATGTATTTACTGTCTGCTATATTATAGGCATTGAACCCAACTGGGGATTCAGGAATGAACAAAGCAGTGTGGTAGTATATAGTCTGGTAGGGAAGACAGATTTTATTTAAGTAATTGCATACATATGTAATCAAATAATTGCATGCATATGTATTCATCTTTGATGAGTGTAAAGGAGAAAAGCAGGCTGTTATGGGTAGGTGTGGCAGTAGAATTTGATGCATTTGGAATGTCAGGGTTAGTCAGCTCCCTGGAAAAAGTGATTGAATGGGAAATAAAAGATGCGTAAGCTCTACTTGGGTAAAGCTAGATGGAAGTGTTTAGGGAGAGGGAAGGGTGTGTGCAAAGGCCCTGGGCCTTGTTTGTAGAGCAAAGGGGGCCCATGTGGCAAGACACAGAAGCCTGCGTTTAAGGATCCTTGTGATCACATGCAGCCCACCCAGACAATCCAGGATCACCTCTCTATTTAAGGCCAGCTGCTTAGCAACTTTAATTCCATCTGTTACCTTAATTCCCCTTTGCCATGGAAGACAGCCTATTCACAGGTTTTGGAGATTAGGGTGTGTCCTTTGCGGGGAGGGGGTCCTTGTTCTGCCTACTGTAACCATTTTTTACTTAGACTCTGTGAGAATTCTCTACTGGAAATTTAAGCCATTCTGTTGAGCATTCTTTGCAGGCTGGAATAAAAATGTCTACTACCTCACCCCCTCAACGTAGTTAGTTGTTCAGTCTCTGTTCAAATATCCCTTGTGATGGGGAACTCTCTATTGGCAATTCTTAGAGGGGACAGCTTTCACTCTCAGTAAGTTCTTCCCTGTATGGTCTCAGATTGTGACCCAGAAGCCCCCTCATGCTGGCCTCGGTTCTGCCTTCTGGGGGCCTCCCAGTCAAGTCCATGGGAGATTTGAGGACTGCCCCCATGTCTAGGTAGCAGTCCTCAAATCACTGAGCAGTCTGGGCTCTTCTTAGTGGCTAGCACCCACCCAGATGAAGCTTCTGCTCTGTTTTCAGAGCTCCACAATGGCCAGGTCCTCACAGTTCTCCGGATTGACAATACCTGTGCACCCATCTCCTTTGATCTGGGAGCAGCGGAGGAGCAGCTGCAGACCTGGGGCATTCAGGCAAGTGCAGATTTCATTGACTCCCTACCATTTTCCTTTATGTCCATCTGTCTGTCTATCTTTTCATCCACTTATTCACAAAATATTTATTACTCTGTGCTTTCTCTAGTAAGGTAAGTGAGAAAGGTGAATTTGAACTTTGCTTTCTTCCCAATTAATTCATCTAACAATTAAGTGCCAGGCACTTAACCAGCTACACTTTATAGAGTTGGACAGGACACGTGCTCACACGTCCCACTGGGGCAGACAGATAGCAATGCTGCAGCAGAGGAATGTACCAGGTGTTGAAGACCTTCATGGAAGGAAATGATAAACTTGCCTGGGGTAGGGGTGGGGTTATTGGTTAGGTAAGCTTTGCAGAAGAGCAGATACTTGATCAGGCATCTTGAAGTGTGCTGAGTGGACAGAAGGAAGGCAATGTTAGGAGAGGAAACTGCCTATACAAAGGAAATGAGCATGAGTTCATTAGACAATGATACAATACCTTCAAGCATAGTGATTTGAGACACAGGCTTCACAGACTTGTAGAACTGGATGCAGACCCAGTTCTGCTACTCCTTGTCTGTGTGACTTTGGGGAGGTAACTTAACTTCTCTGAGCCTTCATCTTCTGTAAATGAGGAAAGTATTAATACCTATTATATAGAGTTTTTGTTAGGATCAAATAATGCTTGAGGAACATTGACACTGTCTCTAGCATAGAGTAAATAAGCAGAAAATTGCAGCTTTTGTTGTTGTGAAGGCCTTGGAGGTACGGGTTTGTCTGTTTTCTAGGTCCTCACATGAATAGGCCTTCTCTGTGTTAGCCAGGGAGGGTTCACTAGGGACGGGGGACGTACAGGACTGATTTCACCCAGAAGAGTTTAGAATATACTTCTTTAAAACTGAACTGCATTATGATTATCACCATGGAAGGAAAACATTCCCAAAGGACAGTGCCAGCCGCATATCAGCACAAGTTGAATTATGATTTGATGTTTCTTTTTTATACGTGCTGTACGGAAGTGCGTATTTTTTAAACAGTTGCTTTCAGATTTGGGTTTTTTAAACTGGTGAACGGTTTACACTGGTCTACCATGTTCCTCAATATGATTTTTGATGCTTACAGTCTGGTTTCTTAGGTCTACTCGAGTAGAGCCTTAAAGTTCTACAGATAACAGTTTTGTTTGGGTAGGAAGATGTGAGTGCTTTGGGCTGAATTAGTAGACACTGATACTGTGGCATTTGTAACCGTACCTGCTACAGAGTGCTCACTAAGGGGCCAGCCTGTGCCAAGCACTATTAATATGAGTGTTACCTTATTTCATGTGTGCCCTACCCCTACAGGGTAAGAACTCTCATTATCCTTGTTTTACAGAGGGGACAGCTGAAGCTCAGATGAGTGGGGTTATTTGTTCTAGGTCACACAGCATGAGAGTGGCAGGACCAGAGTTTGGGCCCAGGGCTGTCTGACACCACCCTGTGCTGTACCCATTAGGCTACCCTGTGCCTGTGGTGGGTGCTGGGCCCCAGGCTGCGGGATCCTTGTCCAGGATGCCCTGATGCCTGCTCTTTCTTGAGCTGGAAGCCATTCAAGTTCCTCATTCTCTTTTCTGGGACATACTGGAATGTATCTAATCCCCCTTCCACATGACAGTCACATGAAATGGAATGACATGCTTGCTGGCAGGGGGGAGGTGGGGAGTAGCTCTCCTCTGGCTGATCCATCTCTTTCCCTTGCATTCCGAGCAGGTCCCGGCTGACCAGTACAGGAGCTTGGCTGAGAGTGCCCTCTTGGAACCCCAAGTGAGAAGATACATCATCTATAACTCCAGGCCCATGCGACTGGCCTTTGCTGTGGTGAGGCGGGTGTGGCCCCCACTCTGGCCCTGCCCCAGTGGCTCTGCTGGAGCCTGTTGACATGAGTCAGGGGTGTGGGGCTGGTGACCAGCTGCCTAGGAAGGAGCAGTGCCATAGGCACTGGATTTGATATAAGAGGAAATTTATGAGAGAGAGTTGTAACCAAATCCCTGCATAAGGGCTGGGAGTCAAAGTCTACCATGGGTGGAGCTCAGGATTAGGATTCTGCAGGCCCATCCAGCCTGCTCTGGATTCAGTGTCTGGCCTTGGCCAAGACTTTCTTTCTCTGGGGCTTGGTTTCTCCATCTGATCAACGCATAGGCCCTTTTGGCTGTAACAGCTAGGTATGTGTGTATGTATAGCCGCACACAGGTACACATGATCTTATAAACACTCACATGCACCTACATATAGACACATGTAGACACACGCGTATATGGCAGAGCCAGGATTCAAACCCAGAATCTGGGCTCTGAACCACTCTGAGTCATGGCTGTTTTGTTTTAAATGGTCAAATAGCACACCTGACTCCCATATCCTACTTATAGGGAGAAGGGACCCAACATTTATGAATTCCATAATAAATGCTGGGCTGTCACATATGTTACCCTGGCAACTTTTGTGACAATGCTATGAAGTAGGGATTTTATCCCCATTTTATAGATAAGGAAGCTGAGGCTCAGAGGTGTTAAAACGTGTCCAGACCTCCAATCTGCAATGTGGGCTTCTGGCTGAAATTTGTCTCACTCAAGCGCCACCTGCCTTTTTCTGTTTTATTTGAACTCAGGGTAAACAAGGATTAGGATAGCTCCTAACCCCTTTATTCTACTTCGTCTTATACATGAGGGAGATGAGCTCATTCCCACAGATCCTCTGTCTGGATCAGTCCCTTATCTGTCCTGTGAGCTGTTGGAATCCATGGATGGTATTAGGAGTGTCTAAAGGATGTCTGTTTTCACAAAGCTGCTTCATTTAAGACTGGTGTTCCTGACCGTGTGACCCTTCTGGCTTCTTGCAGGTTTTCTACGTGGTGGTGTGGGCTAATATCTACTCTACCAGCCAGATGTTTGCCCTAGGGAACCACTGGGCAGGCATGCTGCTTGTGACCCTGGCTGCAGTGAGCCTGACCCTGACTCTTGTGCTTGTGTTTGAGAGACACCAGAGGAAGGTGAGATGTCTGGAGACCACTGCCTCCAGTGGGGCTGTGCAGGTGTGAGAATTAAATTTCAGGTCAGAGTTTTCTCTTTTGCCTGACTTGAAGAATTTCTCCAACCATGAAAATTCATGCTTGCCCATATGCCCAGTGACTAAAAGAAATTAAGTCACAGATGTGATTACATCTTCTCTGTTAGGGGGTTATTTTTCTAGAAGCAAGCTGTGTCTTGAGAGAGAGCCTGAGAGGAGGTCACCAATAGCAAATATTCTTACACTACTTGAGTTAACTGAGCCTTTTCATTCACTTCCTCTGCCTGGATACTCACAACAGCCCTGTGGATGTAGGGGCGTTCCTGAACCACCTTGCAGCAAAAGGTGCCTGGGATTGAGGGAGGGGAAGAATTGATTCCCATTATTCTTTCCTGTGATGGGCAGATGCTGACACAGTGCTCGGTTGACAATCTCTAATCCTGGTGATGACCTTAGGAGGCAGAGAGAGGGAGGTCAGAGAGTTTAGGTAACTTGTCCTGGATCCCACTGTTAGTAGCAGAGGCAGGGTTCAAAGCCTGAGCCCTCTGCCTCCTGATCACGTTCAGAAAGAAGGTTGATACTTCCCAGCTTAATGTATGGTTCAGAGTCCATTCTGTTCCTTCCGTGTCTGTCTTCTGTCACACATTGAGCATGTATGTAGTATGTCGTATGTCACCTGTTAAATGCTTTACTTGGTAACTCATTAAATCCCTCAGCAAATCTCTGGGTAGATGCTGTTACACAAACTTCATAGGTGAGGGGTTTCAGAAAGGCTCAGGGAATAGCCGTGCAGCTGATAAATGGCAGAGGTGGAATTCAAGGCCAGGTCACCCAGATTACAAGTTGTGTTCTTAGTCAATACCACTGTTTTCTGTGGCTGCTGTGATGAATTACCATGAATTTGGTGGCTTAAAACAACACAAATTTATTATGTTACAGTTCTGTAGTTCAGAAGTATGGCATGAGTTTCCCTGGGTTAAAATCTAGGTGAAGGCAGGACTGCATTCCTTCTGGAGGCTCTAGGGGAGAATCTGCTTCCTTACCTCCTCCAGCTCCTGGAGGCCCCCCCCGTGGTTCCTTCCTCCATGAAAGCCAGCAACGGAAGGTCCAGTCTTCCACACTTCTCCTTCTCTGACACTTTTGCCTCCTTCCACTTTTTTTTTTTTTTAAGAAACAGAGTCTTATTTTGTCACCCTCGGTAGAGTGCTGTTGTGCCACAGCTCATGGCAACCTCTAGCTCTTGGGCTTATGCAATTCTCTAGCCTCAGCATCCCGAGTAGCTGGGACTACAGGTGCCCACCACAAGACCCGGCTATTTTTTTTTGCAGTTTGGTTGGGGCCAGGTTTGAACCCGCCACCCTCGGTATATGGGGCCTGTGCCCTACTCACTGAACCACAAGTGCCGCCGCCTCCTTCCACTTCTGAGGACCCTTGTGACTATATGGGCCATCTGATGACCCAAGTTAAGCTACCAGTTTTAAGGTCAGCTGATTAGCAACATTGATTTCACCTACAGCTTTAATTCCCCTTTGCTATGTAACAACATATTCTCAGGTTCTGATAACTAGGACTTAGACGTCTTTGAGGGGATCATGGTTCTGCCTGTGACACTTACACTGTCTTTCCAACTGCTTGGGAGAACTCCTGTTCCTCCACCCCCAGCACCGGGAACAGTTCTGGGCTCTTGAGAGCCTTAGCAAATGTTCTGCTCTGTGTGACTCAGGAGGGGAGGGCAGGATGTTGAGAAATGTAATCAGGGTTTGGAGTTTGAATTCCATTTAGTGCCTGCCAGGGACAAAAAGGTACTTTATGGCTTAATCATTTTGAAAGGATCTTTGTCAGGCTATGCCAGGACACTGACAAAATATGCTGCCCTTGGGATCAGGTGAAGCTTTCGTGGCTTTGATGTTTGGCCTATAAAATATAAATTGAGTTGGTTACTCCTGTGGCAAGAAATTTTTATAAGGGGGGGCAAAAGCAAAGTGTTTTGCTTTAGCAGAAGTGAGCAAAACAATCTGGCACCTGGCAGGTGCTTCAAGGATGTGGATGTAATTCATGCAGTTCAAGGATGCCTGCTTTGGCTGTCTGCCTCCTCCTCTTGCTTCCTGCTTTCATTCAGCTGGAATTTATGAAGCCCCTGCAAGTACCAGGTGGTGTGCTTGGCCCAGGTCACAGAGATGAGCAAGACCTAGGCTCTTTATTCATGTCTCGGCTTGGAGGCCTGAGGGCACAGCAGCAGTGCTCCCATCACTTTTGCTCCTAATGATGGGCATTTAATGAGCACCTACTCTGTACTGTGTGCTTGGGGCCCAATGCTGTGTCCAACAATGACCTTATGTGAGGAGACAGGATACCCCTGCCATTTGCTAGCTCTATAACTTGGGGTAAGTTATTATTTAATCTCGTGGAGCCTCAATTTTATCATCTGTAAAATGGGATAATACTTGTAGCTCCTTTATAGGGTTATTGTGAAAGTTAAATGATACATAGGAAGTCCTTATAATAGTATAGGTATAAAATAAGTGCTTTAGAAGTTTGCCAGTGGGTACACTGAAGCTCAGAGAGGTTAAGTAACTATTCCATGCCCACACAGCCCTCCTAGGTCTCCCTTTACGTCTCAGCTCTAGGACTCCTTTTTTCTTGGTCCCTCATCACTCAGGACCATGCAGATCACCCTTCCTGACCATGGTGTCATCCTGCCTGTGTCCTCCAGCATCCCTGAGAGCCTCAGCACTCAGACATGTGGCTTGTTGCCCCACTTTGCTGCATCGTTGACCTTTCCCCAGATTGGAAGGTCTACAGTGGCAGGCAGGACCCTATCCATGTACAGAGCATTGCTAGGGTACATGAGAAGCTCCTAAAAATATCTGTGACCGACATGGTCCAGTGGAAAACACAGTGATTTTAGACTCACTGTCATCATCACAGTGATAGTGGCTGAAATGTATTAAGTGTTCATTCTTCTAAAAGTTCTACATGGATTAACCCATTCATCCTTATTATAACCTTCTGATGTGGGGGGACATTATTATCTTCACTTTGGGGATGAGGAGATGGAGGCAGAGAGATGTCAGGGGATTTGCCCGAGGTTATACAGGCAGTGAGAAACAGTCAGGAATGGGACTGTTGGTGGGTTTCTGAAAGGATGGACAATACTCTCTTTCTTTTTTTAATGAGACATCCTTTGTCACCCTTAGTAGAGTGCTGTGGCATCATAGCTCACAGCAACCTCCAACTCTTCAGCTCAAGTGATTCTCTTTCCTCAGCCTCCCTAGTAGCTGGGAGTACAGGTGCCCCCACAATGCCCCGCTATTTTTTGTTTGTTTGTTTGTTTAGCTGGCCCAGGCCAAGTTTGAACCAACCAGCCCTGTAGCATGTGGCCGGCACCCTACCCACTGAGCTACAGGTACCCTAAAGTTCTTATCAAATAAAAATGTATGTAATTATCCCTTGATTTTTACAGTAGTAAGGTACCAGGAAAATTCAGTGTGCATTAAGTCCATGCCAGAACTCACTCTAGGAGTATATGTGAAGTAGAATTAGGTTGGTTGCTCGGGGAATTCTAAGCTGAGTGTTCACCTGCATTCATACCCAGTGGTGTCTTTGGAGTCCACGTAGGAGGCCAGGGGACAATCTTTGACATGTGGATAGTCTTTTCTGGGACATGTCCTTCTGTAAAAGGCACGTGTTTAGGATCTCTGGCCATCCTCGGCTAAGTGCCAGCATCATTCCTCCCATCCATGTGACACATTTCCAGAGGCCCCGTTCAGGGGACCTGCTTCTTTTGAGAACCATTGTCCTTGATTGACTGCTTTCTTCTAACTGCAACAGAAAGTCCTCTTGGGCTGTCCCCCAATCCAATGCTGATGTCCTTCTTCTGTCCTCTCTCCCCTGCCTCTTGGCGTCTTCTCTGCCAGCTGAATATAGGGTGTCTGTCCCTTGGTTTGGGTGGGGAGAGTAGGCTGCTGATTTCTGCAGCCCCTCCCGAGGCCAGCCTCTGTGTTAGCTGCTTCCATGGAGGTGCTTTTAGGTGGATCAGAGGCTTCACTTAGGCAACAGGTGCCCCAACCCATCTGGTCCCTGCCTCCCACAAATAGCTTGTGCTCCCAGACTGCGTTGCAGGCTCCGGCTGGAGTGCTTCGCACATGGTCTCTGTGGCATCTCACTACATTCCTAGGGGGTGTTGGCACTCTTTTCTTCTATCACTGAAGACAACAGGGCTCAGGGAAGGACTTACCACCTCAAACAACTTTGGCCCAGGGCGGTCTGACATAATTGAATGTGTTTCATGACCCCCTGTCTCATTTTACAGGGGAGGAAAGGGGAGTGTCCTGAGGGGGAGGATTGTCCCAAAGCAGCTTGGGGTGGGACAGTGTGTGGCTGTTGCCCAAGGCCCAGGTGCTCCCTGGCAGCAGGAATGTCTTTGTTTTGCAGGCCAACACCAACACGGACCTGAGGCTGGCAGCTGCCAACGGAGCCCTCCTGAGGCACCGGGTGCTGCTGGGAGTGACCGACACGGTGGAAGGATGCCAGAGTGTGATCCAGGTACTGTGTCTCGTGGTGACCTCCTCTCGGTGACCTGCTTTTGGACTGGGCTAATGGAGAGCAGTGGCCTTGTGTTCTCCCCTCTACACAGTGTCCCTAGGAATCTGCTAACAAGACCGCTGTCAGCAGCCCTTTCCTCCTTCCCTGCTCCAGTGTTTCTTCCTTGAGATGCCTCCTCTGTGCAGTAACTGGCGACCTAGAACCTCCACCTGGCAGGGCTGGGAGGGAAGCTCAGATACTATCTGAGCCTCTCTGCTCATTGGATGTTTATTCAGCAGACAGATTAGGGCCTCCTCTGTGCTGAGCCCTTGGTTGGGTGCTGAAGACCCTGAGGGGCCCAGGCAGAGTCCCTGTCCTACAGGAGCTCAGCGGCTTGTATGGATGACAGGTGCACAGACAGACAGGCAGCAGTAGCCTCTCTGGCCCCAGAGCAAAGGAATGGCCCCTGACAGGAGAGCTTGCTGTGTGCTGGGCCCTCAGCCCAGCTGAGGTGTGTGAGGTGCAGGGGCTGAGCAGAGGATGCACACGGACCCCATGTTTGTGGAGACTGTTACATGGTGTAGGGTAGGAGACGCTTGTGTCCGACATCAGGAGGTGAAGCAGATGGCATCACAAGAGTCCTGGCAGTTCAAGAGTGACATTGTAGACTGGAAGTTCTTGGAGTCTGAGGGTCCTTTGTACCCTCCTTAATTTCTAAAGCTGCTTCATCAGTTAGCACATAGGAGTGACTGGGCAGGTGTTAGTTGAATACATGGCTGGATGGGTGACTGAAGAATGGGCACATCTCAGACAACTGGCCTCTTTCAGTTTCAAAATAGTGTCTTAGGATGAGGTGATCTAACATAGGGGGTGCCCTTCAGATTCACAGAGGTACTGTGGTCTGGAGGTGGGGGCAGGTCAGGCGGGGTAACGAGTGAGGGTGGAGATGGACGAGAATGGCTGGGAGGTGGTAACACTTAAAGTGAAATGACGGGTTGCTGCCACCTACTTTTGTATGTTTGGAGATTTTCATAGTAAAAAGGTTTAGAAGAATCATTTGAAAAATACTCTTTTGGGGATGAGACAGTGAGAGAAACTAGTTGGTATGGGTGACGTGACTGGATCTCATGGGTTGGTTACTGGGAGGAGGTAGGTCTGGGGGCCTCAGGAGGTAGCCGGTGGGTGGGCGTGTGAGACAAGGCCACCAGATTCCTGTGGAACTTCACCGTGATGTGTGACAGGTGGGGGCCCACAGAGTGTGTATTGTGTGAACAAGGAGGGTTTCAGCCTGGTTCAGCCTGCTCCCTGGAGACTGGAAGTTGAGGTGGAAAGGAATGTCAGGATGGGGCGAGGACTTCTTATCCCATTCCCCTTCCCCTGGAGCACCCCAGTGATTAGTTGGTGATGTGTCACCTCCGATGGGTTTTGCTTATTTGGATGTTCAGTTCCAGATAGAAAAGTTGAGGATGGAGATGGTAGCTCCAGGTGGAACTGCCCGATGTCTGGGGCTGGGTAGGAGGTTAGGAGTCTGTGTGGGTGCTCAGCGACTTGTGGGAGATGGGGCAAAGCGGGTTTGAACAGGGTTTGACATTTTTTAAATCTACAGGAAGCCATCCATACAAGTGAGATGTGGTCATAGCATGGGACTCTGGGGGAGAACAGAGCCACACGTATTCCTCCCAGGGGCAGACTGAATCTGGTGGGGCTCCAAGGGCTGGGCCTCCGGCGAGGAGACAGGAGGTGGAGGACAGTCACAGAGGGGAAGAGTTCTAGGTGGGGTTAGCTTTGAGCCCCTGTGATCATGGGTGCTTCTCCCCACAGCTCTGGTTTGTCTACTTCGACCTGGAGAACTGTGTGCAGTTTTTGTCTGACCATGTTCGAGAAATGAAGGCTAGCCAAGAGGTAAGATATCCTAAGTGAAAATCAAAACAAAACAAAAATAAACCAGGGGGCCAATTGCATAGGTTGCATTACCTCCATGTTGGAAAAATGTTTAAGAAAGTTAATTGGAAGAAAGAAGACTTCCATGCAATAATTTTTTTTTTTTTTTTTTGCCAAGAGAATAATGGTTGTTTTTTTGCTTCTTTTTAACTAATCGTATCGTCTTCATTTCCTATAGTAAGTGTATATTTCTGTATGATGATAATAATAATAAAATCTGGCAGATCCAAAAGTATTGTGTATCTGAATGGCCTTCCTTGTGCACAGTGCCTCTCTGACCCTTGTTAAGCAGATTCTACAGAGGAGGAAACAGGCTCTGGGAAGATCCGCCACCTGCCTGTGGTTGCAGAGTGGGCTGGTGACGCCCAGGTTTGGAGGCCAGGCCTCTGTCTTGGAGCCCTGCACTCCTTTCCTGGGATCTGCCCTTCCCAGGCCTGGCTGCAGTGGATCTTGAAGTCATTATTGAGGTTAATCTCTGATACTGGTTTGGTAGTTCTTCGGTGGCCTCGGGCAAGCCCTTTGACCTCAGTTTGTTCATCTGCAGCATGTGAATAAAGATACCCAAGTTCCCAGGCTACTTTGAGCAAATCAGAGCATGGAAAGAAAAGTATTTGGAAGCTACTAAGTACCATGCTTCTGTAGGGAATTATGTGATCTCACCAGTGTGGCCCAATTCCAGATTCTTCTGAGGTCAGCATCTGATGTGTAGATCATTCTGTCCTCTGCTGGGTCTGCAACTCAGGGAGTGACTCAGCCTCCCAGATACTACCCAATTTAGGACACACCTAAGCCCCTTCTGTTTCCTTTGCAGTCTCTGCTGAGAAGCAGACTGAGCCAGTTGTGTGTTGTCATGGAGACAGGGGTGAGCCCCACGACAGAGGAGGGGCCTGAGAACTTGGAGGATGCTCCTCTCTTGCCCAGCAGTCCTTGTCCTAAGGAGAGACCACTCATGCAGACTGAGCTTCACCAGCTTGTTCCTGAGGCCGAGCCAGAGGTAACCGGTGCTAAGGCCAGTCAGGGCCATCCTCCTTATGGGGCACTTGCATAGAGAGAATCTGTGCAGGGGCTTCAGGGTCTAGGCTCCTGGGGACATGGCTTCTCTGAGTTGGTAGAGACCATACACATCCAGCCCAGTAGTTTTAAATCTTCTTTTCCTTTACCCTATCACTTTTAAAAATAGTTTATAAGAATCATTTTATATTTATTGGAATTTTTATTGCAAGTTTTTTAAAGATCTTAGATATTTATGATCTTTGCATTAGATATTTAGTTGCACTTAACCATGAACATATTGATGAATTTTGGGTCTTTATCAGTCAGTCAGTCAAGCAACTGTTCATTTTGCCAATCTGTCTGCTTAAATTGCAGTTGGATATTTGAATCTTATTTGTATATAACTCTATTGAATTCTAATTCCTCCAGCCCTACAATTCTGCTGGGTCCTGCCATCCAAGCTGTCTGTTGGGTGTGTCTAAAAGCACTAGTAGACCAGAAATCTCAAGATGTGGTTTGCACCCATGCTTCCTTCTTCTAGTAGCAAAGACAGACCCACCGTCAGGGAGACAAGCAGCGAGGGGCTCTGGAACTATGTTTTCTTTTCACCCGAGAGGCTTGGGGATCCAAGGCCCAGACCAGTCCAGGCTTCCTCTTTTCCTTTGGAAGCAAGTGGGAAGCCTGCAAATAGGACTATTTAAAAGAAAAAATGACACATGTATGAATCTCTTCCCTTGAATCCTACTGACTTTTTTACAGAGCAGAAAAGATTGAAAGGGTCATGCACTTTATTATGACTTTCATGTCTAGGTTTATGGGTAATAGCCCATTAAATATGGGTCTTTTAAATTATTTTTTCCAATTCATACCAATAGTAATACAATTTCCTGTCATGAATATCAAGTGTGTGTGCACATGTTTATGAAATAGCTGCCCTTATTATTTAGCTATGGAAAATGTAATTGATGCTGCAGTCTCAGCACCGGCCGGACCGTCATATTTCAGTAGCAACCCAGTGTCTGTGAAAGACAGAAAGACAGTTATAATGACCTCTTACATCTTTATAGATTTTTATCATGCATAAAATTCTTTAGTGTACCCTCTGAGGTGTGGATTATTTTCCCTTCTTCCTTGATGGGTAAAATAAGGTTCCAAGGTCCTGTCTTGCCCAAGATCACAGAGCAAGGGCAAATGGGGCAAGGCCAAGGGCAGAAGCCCAGCCTGCTGATTGGAAAGTAGGCCAATTTTCTCGCTACAGTTCTTTGCTTCTTACCTTATTGATTTTAGAGTAAATCGGTGAGAAGACTGATCAGAGTGAGTGAGTGGCAGATTACCTGACGTTTTTAATATCTTCTAAGCACAAAGAAAGAACAACAGAAGCCAATCCTGGGAACCATTCGGAGTTTCTGCTTTTTGAATAATAATGATGGTAATAATGTTGATGATATTTATTGAGCCTTAGGCAGTGGGCTAAATGTTTTCTATCCATCTGTTCCTTTAATCCTCATTCCAATTTAGTGAGGTCGAGGCTACTATTTTCCCTGTTTTACCAATGAAGAAATAATCTCAGCAAGGTGAAGTGTCTCGCTCAGGGTCAGTCACACATGGCAGTGCTGAAATTCCCTCGTGGCCTTTTGGGTTCGAAAGCCTGTTCCTAACTAGTAACTCTACATACTTATCTAGTTTTGATGTAACCCACACCTTAGAGGATTCATCAGGCTTACATTTTTTAAAGAACTGGATCATTTTATTTTAAATAATACAATTGAGCAAGAATCCTATTTTTGGCCCTAAGCTAGACTACAAAACAGGAAATATTGAGCTGCATAGAAATCATCTTACTCCAGTTTCATTTTGACCGTATATGCTGCAGCTATTTGTTTAATACATTTTGCTCTGAGTTTAGAAGTGCATTATTTATTACTTCAGCTAAAGCGACCTTTTTTTTCTTTTTTTTTTGAGACAGAGTTTTATGCTGTGGCCCAGGCAAGAGTGCTAGGGCATTAGTCTAGCTCACAGCAATCTCAAACTCCTGGCCTCAAGTGATCCTCTTGCCTCAGCTTCCCAAGTAGCTGGGGCTACAGGTACCCACCACAGTGCTTGGCTTAGTTTTCTGTTTTTAGTAGAGACAGTCTCTTACTTTTGCTCAGGCTGGTTTCGAACTTCCAATCTAAAGTGATTTTCTCACCGCCACCTGCCGAAGTGCTGGGATGATAGCGTGAGCCCCCGTGCCCAGCCTAACAACCTCTGTTAGCATCTTAGCAGTGCTTATGTAATGAAACCTGCCAGACCTAGGATACATTGAAGAATCCTGCTATTTGGGGGATATTCTCCTCCCCAGCTCCACACTTAACTAGTGATTTTCATAAAGTGAGTCACCTTATATACTTCACAGACTCCTAGACACTTAAAACGGGAAAAAGGGGTTGGAGCCTATGGCTCAAGGAGTAGGGTGCTGGCCCCATATGCTGGGGGTGGCGGGTTCAAACCCGGCCCCGGCCAAAAACTGCAAAATATAAAAGGAGTAAGTGTATGTGTGTGGGGTGCGGGGGTTTACTAGGCATAAATCAGTGGTAATTTGTTTACTGCTGTGAGGGTGCTTATCTTTTTTGTGCATATTATTATTGCCAGTCAGCAATTAGTTACCCGCCGTGGGGATGAGGAAACCGAGGCTGCAGGAGCCCCACAGCTGGTCAGTGCAGAATGGGATTTTCAGTGAGGTTGATGTCTCCCTTGACCCACAGGTGTGGCCTGGCCTGGTTCTTCCAGTGAGCATCACTCGTCTGTAACGAGTGGCCTTGGCCTTCTCCTGGTGCCTGAGCCCTGCACCCCGCAAGGTGCCTTCCTGTGGTCCTCACTCTGCTTCCCTGCCCCCTCTAGGAAATGGCCCGGCAGCTGCTGGCAGTGTTTGGTGGCTACTACATCCGGCTTCTGGTGACCTCCCAGCTTCCCCAGTCAGTGGGAACACGACACACAGACTCTTCCAGGGTTCCATGTCCCTGCCAGCTCATAGAAGCCTACATCCTGGGCTCGGGGTGCTGCCCATTCCTGGCCAGGTGACCTAGGGATGAAGATACTCATCTTCCTCCGAGACTGAGATGTGGGGGAGGCTTCAGGAGCCCAACATGGCCAGTGGTGAGCCCCCAGTGACAGCAGCATCTGGGGCACTGAAAAGGGGCTTGGTCATGTCAGCAAAGGGGTATTGTGCTCACAGCAGGGCCATGCACAGAATGTCTTCTCAAGATCTCATGCTGAGCCCTGGCCTTTGCAGAAGCTGATGGGCAGTGAGCTGGTCCCATCCCGAGCTACCCTGTGCTGCTCAGAACCATGGACATGGATAGAATGTCTCCCATCCCTCCCACTAAAGCCCAGGAGATACAAACATGGCAACTGGGGGAATCATGTGTCCAAAGCATGGTCTCAGATGAAGCTTCGATCCTGTCCCTAACCCCTTGTGTCAGTTGGAGAAACTGAGGCCCAGAGAGGACACTGTCTTTGTGGCATTGCTGTGGACCTCTCAAATTATAAGACTGCCTCTTCCCAACCTGAAGAAAAGTTTTCAGAACTCTCTCCATTTGTATGTTTTTCTTTCCCATATTTTATGAAAAATAGTGACATCTAGCACATAGGCTGCTGAAGACAGATGGAAGATGGGAGTCAGAAGAAGACAAAGGGCAGATAACTGTTAATGTGAATATGTGAAAAAGACTGATCCTGTTTGACTTGAGGATTGATTTTGTTCAATACTGTG